ATTGTGAGTTCAATCACTGTGCTGGGCAGTGTGTACTTGAACTTAATGGAAACGGGGTAAGCAATAACTGAGCAGTAGTGAGAGGGCGAGAACGCGTGCAGTTTAACCCCCGTAGATTAAATAAAGTGTTCAGTTCAAAATTTCCTGTCAGTTAATCAGATCGACATACACCTGATGAAGGCCAAAGGGTACAAGGACTGAAACGTTGCGATAACAACGACAAAGATGAGGATAATAGTCCATATGTAAATAATGTAAATGATGATAACTCCTCATTTCAGCTTTGAGCTCTTATTACTCCTTTACCTCCTTTAAAGTGGGTGAAGTGTAATTCAGTTTTTTTTCTTGTAGGTCGTAGCTCACACCCTGCGTAGGGTGGTAGATACAATGGTTTTAATATACAACTCGAAGTGTCGTTGTGTTAATCTTTATTTTAAATATTTTTCTCGGAAAATAGAGCATTCTGACGCTGAGCAGTGTGGCGTAACGTATAATGGTTTGGCAAGAGAAATCCGAGAACTGAGTTCGAATTCTAGCCGGGTTAGTTACATTCACTTGTGCAAATACTCTTGTGAAAGTTATGGATACATCTCTTATCACTTGAGTAGCAGGACACACTGGATCGTATTGCCTTGTTTGGCAGCCAGTCTACCGCAGAATGAAACGGCAGCCTGCTGCTAGTTAATCATGAATCGAAAGCAACATGATAGCCCAAACGTGTATTGCGCATGGCACTGATTACTATCAGTGCCATACGCAATACACGTTTGGGCTATCATATTCTCCGCCATACGTTGATGTGAAAGATAGTCGAGTGATATCCTGTTGCGTTCTCACGGTTTTCGTGTCAAAGTTTGGCAAATATGGACGTTTGTGACTGCAAAAAACAAAACAAAACAAAAAAAAACCCACAAAAAAAAAACTGTGTCAAACAGACGGTTTCTCCATTGACAACGATTATAGTTTAATTACTTTTACTCTTCAGCAACGTTTTGAAAACGATGATTGAAATTGTTATACAGTGTAACCCGGATATAAGAGAGTTGTCGGGACCGGAGAAGAAGTCTCTTATATCCGGGTTTCTCTTATATCCGGGTTTGGTCTATTATATATACATTAACACATGCTCTAATTTGGGACCAGAAAAATCTCTCTTATATCAGGGTTACACTGTATATGTATATATATATATATATATATATATATATATATATATATATATATATATATATATATACAACGTAACCCGGATATAAGAGAGTTGTCGGGACCGGAGGAGGTTTCTTATATCTGGGTTTCTCTTATATCAGGGTTTTGGTCTATTATATATACATTAACACAGGCTCTAATTTTGGACCAGAGAAATCTCTCTCTTATATCCGGGTTTCTTATATCCGGTCTCTTATATCCGGGTTACACTGCAAAACCCAAACATATGAAAGTGAATTTATACATTTTCTTTGTTCTTGAGAATTAACAAAAAAATAAATAAATAAAAATAATAAGCAGTATTTATTTATTATATTGTTTATTGAAACGGCTGTCAAGACATTAGCTAATTGCCAATTGATTCAAACTTTGTAAAAAGGATAAATAATCAGGATTTACTTATGGTGGTGTGGTAATAAAATAAGTATATCCCATCTCTCCTCTTGCTTGTAACTATCCACTAAAATAAAATAAACATTTTCATCACTAAAGCTGAATTTGTCAAATAAAGCTTCATAAGCTTCTACTTAAAGTTGTTGATGTATTAAAAGTTGGTTCACTTATTTTAATAATTCAGTAATTCATAAATAAATAAAAAAATGTTTTTATATTTATTTCTTTATAAATTGTTAAATGATAAATATAGTGAACCTCGGTTCACGAATTTAATTCGTTCCTGAAGGCCGTTCGTAACCCGAAATGTTTGTAAATCGAAACACACAGACAAAGAAACAAACACACAGAGGCGGCAATAGATAAATTGTCGTCTAAATGACGCAAAAATGAAAATAACATTGACAGCACTACCTCCTGAAGGCATTTGATGCAGGTACTCTTTTTTCACAGAAAGTGCCCAACTGACCCTACTATACTGTTCAGTCGACAAAATCACAAACAAACAATGCGCATGCACGAAATTAAAAATAGAAAATGGCGATAATTTACCCATCGCACCCTGAGTACACACACACACACACACACACACACACACACACACACATATATATATATATATGTATATGTAGGCAGCAATCTTTTTTTTAAACATCATTCGTTAAATATAACAGACAAGGAAAATTTAATCAATTTATATTTAGTTTTTCCATTTTTAGAACGCACGTAAAACTAAATAATGAATTAAATTTTCCTTGTCTGTATTATTTAACTAAAGATATCAGGATAGAGCGTATGTAAATATAAAACGACCATATATATATATATATATATATATATATATATATATATATATATATATATATATATATATATCTGTGTGAGTGTGATTAATACAAACAAAATTTGTCAATTAGCTGATTGATGTTATATTCTTCGCCTCGCTGACGAAGCATGTGTATATATATATATATGTGTGTGTGTGTGTATTTATGCGTACGTGTGTGTGCAAGTGCGTTTGCTCAGTTATTGTATAAATTCTTTCATCAAGTAAAAAGAACTAATGTCGATTTTTTTCTTTGTTGTCTCAACTCCAGAAAATATAAAACAGTTTCTTTCTGCCAGATAATAAAAATTAATTTTAATTTCAGCGATATGCTTTATTTGATGAGATCAGATGTTGGGCGTCCTAAACGATAAAATCGATTTTAAGGAAGTAAGTTCGATTCTTCTTAGGGGTTCTTTTTGGTTTCACTCAATAGTTTGTTTTTTTTGTTTACAATATTTTTCACCCTGTACAAGACCCAAAAGTCACTCAAGGTAGAGGGTTACAAATTATCCCCATTATTGGGTTACAATTTTTATAAAAAAACAATTCATTCACACAAAATGTTCATGAAAAATAAACTGGAAGCGATGGGAGCGATTGTGGGTTCGTATAGCCACACTAAATATTTTTAATGATATTCATATATTCATATATACTAGCCAAATCCCCGTCTTACGAACATTTCTCTTAATAATTTAAATAATTCCGCTGATGCCTTCGTTTACCGGCTGGACGGACGGGCCCGTCAAGATACTCGGTATCTGGTTCGGACCCGGACTTCAGCTGGACGCCAACTGGGCGGAGGTTCTGTGGAGGGTCGAGGAAGCAGTCCGCCTGTGGACTCGAAGGAAACTTTCCTTGAAGGGGAGGGCGGAAGTGTGCATCTCGCACATCTACCCGATTCTTCTTTACCGTCTCTCGGTACTTCCACTCTCGTCTACCGAACGGAAAAAGTTCGTTAAGGCCCTTTTCGACTTCCTTTGGAGAGAAAAGGCGCATCTGATACGTCGCGAGGTCTGCTCCCTCCATCCTGCAGAGGGCGGTCTGGGCATGCCCAGCATTAAGAACCGTCAACACACGCTGCGTCTGGGTTTCCTGCAAAGAATGTGCACCGAAAGTGGGGATGACGAAGAGGACGTTTTCTGAAGGAAGACGCCCGACGAGCCTTTCCATCTCTGGAAAGTGTGCATACGGGAGAGGCGGAGGCTGAACGAGAAGACGAAGACGATTGCCCTTTCTATGAGGAATGTCGAGAAGCGCTGTGCAAACTCTTAAAGGTGAAGGATCGCCTCTCTGACACAGGGGCGTTGTCGCAGAAAGCATTATATCGTTTTCTAGTGAGGGTAGATGCAAAAGACAAACTCCAGGACGATCTCGGCCTTACGAACGAGGAGTTTCGCCCGCATGGCCATGGGCGCCCCGGGTTGAAATGCCTCAACAACGACGAGGCATCACTCACCTGGCAGGTGTTGCGAGGGGCTCTCTGGGTCGGCAAGAGGCTTTATGCAGCGGGACTGGTGGCAACACCAACGTGCGTGCGCTGCGGCGAGTGGAGGAGTCCATTGCGCACGCCTTCCTTCACTGTAGTGTCGTAATCCCGCTGTGTAGGCTGATTGAAGGCTACATGGTCCGCATCTTGGGCGGAAGGCTCTTCTTCCTGGATGCCAGCACGGTCTGTTCTAACGTGCTGCCGACGGTGACAAAGGACCAGCAGTATGTAATCTTGTGTTTGCTTGGCATCATGCGAATGGTTGTGTGGACGACACGACAGAAGGTCTTTCACGGAGGCGAGAAGTTCTCCTCTTCCGAATTGGTCGCCTTCTTTAAGCATCAGCTTAGAGTCAAGATCAGGACGGAAAGGGTGCGTCTCTCGCTGAAATTCAGCAAATGTTGGGTGAGAGTTTCGCAATTGGTGCGTGAGAGGAGCTAACCTTGAGTGGTTGTTAGACACGACTTAGGTCAAAGAATATTGGGCCACGCGCCGAAACGTCAGTCAACCCAGACCCGGTCAACGTAAGATAGGCTTTTGACAGACTCTGTCAGAACTAGCTAGAGTATGCAAGTGTTTAGGTTCCCCCTTTTTGTCCCACATGTATTTTATACCCCATCCCTTCCCTCCTTTCTAGGTGACAAGACTTTCTTGTTCTCTGGCAAGATCAGATGTGAAAATATCTGATATTTCTGCCCAGTTAACCAGGACTTCTGCCACATCTTCAACTTTGGGCGGGACCCGATACTAACAATTATTTATTTTTCAGAATCCACTCATTGTATCCCCCGCCCAGCTTTTGTATAAATAAAATTTTCACGCTAGGATTCTAGTGGAATAATTGAGGTATTCTGGTAATTGTGGTGCGAATGGTTAGTGCAAATGTGGTATTATGGTGAAAGGTTTATTGTCAGTACAAATGGGTCAATGAGAGAGGCTAGCTAGTTACGAATTAAGACTAGAAACGACCAAACTCTTCCCCCCCCGCCCCCAAATTCGCCCTTGTGGCACATTTTGTAATTTTTACAAATAAATATTAAGATCAAAGTGTAGTATCTGTTCCAGACTCGTTCTTGACCTTTACTTGACGCGGCCCTGTTTAGGGAGGAGGTATCCATCTGCGTGTTGGATTATCTCCGACGATTCCCCCCGGAATCGTTGAAGCAGACGGCCAGGAGGCAGGAGGTTCCCAACCTTGGGTTGGGACATCACCGACTGTTCATCCGAACAGTCGAAGAAGACGGCCTGGAGGCAGGAGGTTTCTAACCTTGCGTTAGAATATCTCCGACTGTTCAGTCGAAGTAGACGGCCTGGAGGCACCCCCCTTCGTGGAGTACCCATGACGTCTTCCCCGTGTTCGAGGGTGGGCGCCATGGCGGAACAACGCTCGGAGTACCCTGCCCCACCCTCGCCAGCAGTTTCAGCTCCAGATGCTGAGGCATCTGAGCCCTTGCCTCCCAAAGAGGCAATTTGCGACCACCAGCTGCCTCCCAAAGAGGCAACATCCGACCAACAGCCGCCTCCCAAGGAGGCAGCCTGCGAATCCCAGGCGCCTCCCAAGGTGTCATCTAGCACGGGCCAGCTGCCACCCAAAGAGGCAGTGAAAGAGACTGTGGCCGAGGCACTACCCTCCAAATGGAAGTCCCCGCCCGTTCCAGGCTTTAAACTCCAGGAATTTCTTGCGAGGGCAGATGGGTACACCCATCTCCTGAAGAAGGGCGGGCTGACCCTCGATCCGGAGGATGTGGAGAGTTTTGCCAAGAGGACAATGTCAATCTTCGTGAACTTCCCGGAGGATTTGCCGATCCACGAAGGACATTGTGTTTAAGTCCTTGTCGTCTCTGGGGTTTGCGCCCCAGCAGATTGTTCGGGGGAACGAAAGCTTTTATGTGGGACGTGCTGCTGCCCTCGTCAGAAGATTGCGGCGCCATGCTCGATAGAGACCTCATAACGAAGGATCTTATCCTTCGTACAGAGTACAGGGGCATGAGACGGACCAGGGTGTCTGTCCACGAGGTTCCCGCCCAGGTGAAAGGAGAGGCGCTGGCTGCCTACTTTAAGCAGTTTGGAGAAATCCTCAGTGTCTCCTCGGATGTCAGGCTCGGTTCATGGAGCTTCGACATCATGCTGAGCGAGCAGGCCTTTGGCGGCATTCCCAGCATGTTGGATGTCGATAAAAGAATGCTGCCCGTCATTGTAACGGGCAGGAGACCAACATGCTGGAAATGTGGCAAACCTGGCCATATCGCCTCTGCTTGCGCGGGGCTTCTCACCCTGGACAGACAGCCGGAGCACAAGAAATGCGAACCTGGGACGTCTCTATTGCCCAATACAAAGGCCTCTGTTCCCGCCGCCCCCTTAACCACGTCTGATGAAGGGGATTGGAAGGTTGTTGGCAAGGGGAAGAGGAAAGCGAGGGCGGCGGCGCGTCCAAACATGCAGCAGAGCGGCGATGTCTCCGCATCCGACGGCAGGGGGGGGTGACGCCTCGGCCCCAGCTCCCAGGACGGATCATTCGCCGTCCACTAAGATCCCGCGGGTCAAGGAGGTGATGGCTGACTTGGAAAGGCAGCTGGCCCAACCAGATCTGACACCACAACCAACACCAACACCAATTAAATCAACACCGAGACCAACACCGAGACAATCCACACCATCACCGAGACAAACATCAGCAAGACCACCAACACCACCACCAAAAACTGTTAACCTCCCATCCTCTGCCCCACCTTCCCCGACCAAAGCAAAGACTCTGCCACTGCCTCCAAGAGCCCGCTCGTCATCCCCCCCCAGAGGGCCACAACCCTGGTGCACAAGGGGAGACTCCCCCAAAAAGACTTTTGCTACACCGGGGAAGAGACTGAGAAGCCCCCCGGAGGATGTCGACGGAAAGAGGCGGAAGGCAAAGCTCTGGTACAACACGGGAAGAACGTATGCCGTGTGACCACCGATAGTGCACAGAAAGCCAAAGACTTTGGCAGGAGGACAAGTGATCTGAAGGTCCTCCTGGCCATGAAGAAATGCGGTGAGGATGAACTGGAGGATCCAATGAACTTTCCTCATGCCAAAATGGTCCTCACCGTAGTTCGAGACGGTACGGGATCACGACAGGCGGGGGCATGATAGAGGAGGCAAAAAAGCTTCCCAGGACTCCACACCCATCGTCATTACAGACAACGAGGACCTTTCCAGACTGAAACATTTCTGTACTGGAAGGTCCCCGGTTTTGGTCCACCCATCCTTCTATAGGGCCTTGAAATTAACCTTTCCCTGGGATGTCGGTGGTATATCGCAAGACATGTCCATCAAAACTGAGATGGGCCCGGATCGATGGGAGAAGCAGTCGGCATCCCCACCCAGACTATGTTTCGGGGCGAGGCTCAACCCTAAGGTAAGTGTCTTTCATGGCTCTTTGGTTAGCAACTTTGAATGGCCGAGGTCGGAGTCTCGTAGGGCGACACTCTCACGCGATCTTCAGCGCCCTTGGCGTGAATGTGTGTTGTGTGCAAGAAACCCATCTTATTGCTAGCGACTATGAAGATGTGCTGTCGAAGAGGTTCCACCTCTACTCGGCGTATTTCGATAACCGCGCCAGAGGGATCTCTTGGCTAGTCAGCAGGGCCTTGACGGCGACGTGTAACCTTGTGTACGCTGACCCGGAGGGCAGGCTTTGCGTCCTGGATGTCACCATAAAGGGGAAGTCTCTCCGCTTCATCGGAGTTTATGCGCCCAACGACGAGGCGGAGCGGGCTGCCTTTTTTCGGCGGGTCGAGCCTTTTCTGAAGACGTCTCGCCAGGTAGTTTTAGCGGGTGATTGGAACGCTGTCCTTGATCCCGTATTAGATCGTAGCGGGCCTAGATCGGGTGATAACAACCCGGATGTCAAACCCTTTCGCGAATTTATCGACAGATTCGACTTAGTCGATAAGTTCAGAAATGAGCATCCTAACGAGGCAGCATGGACTTGGACCAATAGGGGCGGCCCGAATACAGTAGTTCGTTCGAGCTATATCGACCGGGTTTTAGTAAGGAGAGTCGACGTAGGGCTCTTAGGGTGTCCAAGTTTTCATTCGATAGTTTTCTCGGACCATCGGCTTGTCCGGGTACGAGTAAACTTAGATAAACCTAAGCCTAGATTGAATGGTTACTGGAAGTTTAACACGTCTCTACTCGAGTCGAAAGACTTCCGGGACCAGTTACTACTAACCATACAGAGGGAAATGACGGGGAGTGTGGTGGGGAATAAGGGGTGGGGCCATCTTAAGACTGTCATTAGGTCGTTTGCAGCTGATTATAGCCGTCGACTCAACAGAGATAGATTAGCAGCGCAAACGGCAGCCGAAGCTAGATTAGGGGGTGCCATCCAATCGGGAGATAGCGTGGAGGTTTCTGTAGCTAGAGCCGAGTTGGCCTGCTCGCTTATCAAGAAGGACCAAGCTCTGGTAGTCAGGTCTAGGCTAAAGAAAATGTCTGCCGAAGCGACAAACATGGCCGCAGAACTGTGGCACGAGGAGGTACGCAGCGCTTCGGATCGATATTTCCCCAGTGTTAAAGCACCGACGGACGACAAGCGACTACAAACGAAGGCATCTGCGAGGCCTTCCGGTCTTATTTCCGGGACCTCTTCTCCAGAGAACCTGACTGAGCTCAGCACAGTTCGACACTTATCTGGCTGACTTTCCTCGTCTCGAGGAGGTCGAAGCGGATGTGTGAGGGGCCATCACGGAAGAGGAAGTCTGGGATGCGCTTGTTGGCCGGCCGGGACAAGACCCCGGAATAGATGGACTTCCTTACGAACTGTACTTGAGGCTGTCGCCCGTTTTTGTACCCCTGCTGACACTGATGTTTAACCACTGGCTGAGGAACGGGAATATACCCCAACGCTTCACCAGGGGCGTCATCAAGTTGTTACGCAAGAACAAAAGCGGAGGGGGTGGGATAGATAATTTCCGCCCCTTGACTATGCTAAATGCAGACCTCAAGGTTTTGGCGAGGGTCTTGACCAACCGTCTGCAGCTTGTCCTGCCTAGCCTGATTGGCCCCGAACAGACGTGTGCTGTGAAGGGCAGGACTATGCAGGATAACCTTCACATGATACGCCAGATCATAGAAAAAGTCGACGGAGAAGCCGCGCAGATCAATTTGGATCAGTCCAAGGCATTTGACAGGGTGGACCATCATTTTCTCGAGGCTGTTCTCGCGTCTGCTGGCTTTGGGCCGCATTTTCGCTCCTGGATCCGGCTTTTGTACAAGTCTCCTGGCGCTCTGGTCGAGGTAAACGGGGTGAGGTCGGAGCCTTTCACCTTGTCTCGCTCCATTCGTCAAGGTTGTCCACTATCGCCTATGCTTTACGTTCTTGCTTTGGAGCCCTTCCTACGCAAGTTAAAGGCGAATCCGGTCCTTCGCGGAATCTCGGTGCCTGGCGCCTCCAACGCTGCCAGGTATTCTGCCTATGCCGATGATGTGTCTGTGTTTAAGAGCGCTGACGAAATTCGCGAGGTCGGTAAAGAGATTTGCAGGTATGAGACGGTGGCCAAGATCAACCGCGATAAGTCTGTCGGCTTGCGGTTGGGCGAGTGGGAGGGTGTTCCTCTCCCCGGTCTCTTCAGCTGGACGGACGGGCCCGTCAAGATACTCGTTATAATAGGATATGCACCCCTTCAGAAAAACAGTTACTAAAAACTTTCTGTAGATATTATATTTGTCTTATTTTGTCTTTGAAGTATTGGCGCAACATGATCTTCATTTCCCTATAATTGGTCCTCTGCTAGTCCTATCATACTAAATATCTATATAATTTTACTGATAACGATTTGATAATTACATTAAAAAATCTTAAAAGAAATGAAGAAAATAATTCTTGACATTCAAATTTTTTATGAAATGTTTTATCGATGATAGCATTATGATTTTAATAACTCCTAGACTGGTTGCCAACTAAGGCTATAGAACTCAATCTGCCCTACTATTTAACCAATTGCTAGAGGCAGGAAGAAGAGATGTACATTTCTCAGTGGTATTTCTGCGCCAGTAATCGCTACGTTACTCTCACATTCAAAATTAAGATAATGATTCACTAAGCGAAGCATAGATGTGGCACAAGGCCGAAAGTATAGAGCACCTAGCGAGGATCGAACTAACTAATCAGTCTTAATTGGTCTAGCGAGACAAGTTGGGTAACAATTATACCACGTTCAAAAACGTTTCCGCGTCCTTGTGGGCGATGGATTTTCTCCACCCTCAAACCTCTCTGTCGACCAGGCGGGATGTGGCAAGTGTGTCTCGCTGCTCTATCGCTATTTCACGGAAAGTGCTCGGAAGAACTACATTCCTTGGTCCCGACAGAGCTAATCTTCAAGGCTAGGACCCGCCAGGCCACATACATTGTAGCAAACCGCACATATTCCCTACGTATTCCACCGGTGAGAAGTAAATTACACTCGAACAGCTTCTTCCCGCGAGCCACTGCATTGTGGAGGATGCTTTCCCGATCACTACAATCTTAACCTGTTCAAGTCTAGGGTTAATCGTTATCTTCCCCACATATCCTCATAAACTCTGCTTCTTACCTCTTACTTTGTGGAACCGACTCCCAGGAGGATGCTTCCCCGATCACTACAATCTTAACCTGTTCAAAACTAGGGTTAATCGTTATCTTCCCCACATATCCTCATAAGCTGTGCTTCTTACTTTGTGGAACCGACTCTCAGCGGGGGTGTTTCCCTGATCACTATACTTTAACCTGTTCAAATGTAGGGTTCACCGTTATCTTCCTATTCTATGCATATAAACACTCTCATTAACGTACCTGTTAATTAGTTTGGCCGCCACGCCTGGTAAGCCTTGTAGTCGATG